GTCAAGAGAAAATCCACGGGCAGTTAAAATAACGGAGGCTCTGACTCATTTTATCGCTCTGGATGACCAGCCAATGCCGGTCGTGGAAAACATAGGATTGCATCGTCTTCTCAGCGTACTCGTACTCGAGCTGCGATATGAAATTCCCAAGCGCCCACACATCAGGGAGATAATGGTGCCAAAACTTTCTGAAGAGGTAAAGACAAGCAGTGTGTGCGCGATGTCAGTCCTCGGTTTAACGGCACACTGATGATCCACGGGCAGATGAGTTTATTCGTCAACGCCAAATACTTTCGTTATTTTGTTTGTTTGTTTACAATATGGACACTCTGCAACAATTTAAAAGTTTATTTTATTCTCAAACCTAATTTGTATTTATTTTATTCCAAACAGAAGTGTTTATTTATTATTCCGAAAGCTCGAGACAGTGCCAATAGTTCAGTGATCTTTTGTTAAATTACAATGTGGAGACTCTGCAATAATTTAACAGAAGTGCTTGTTTTTCACTTGAAATTTTTTTGTGGTCATTTTTATTAAGATTAAATTTTTTATCGGCAGAGAATAAAATAAAACCTGTCTTCCAATTCATTGCATTTGTGTGTGTGTGTGTGGTAGAAGTATCGGTTTTTGTATTCTTTATCGGCAAGTACTCAGATCCAAGTATCGGTATCGTATCGGTTTGAAAAGATTGGTATCGTTGCATCCCTACTTTAGGCCTCTTAGTACCAACTGAGCATTGTTTAAACTCCACAGCCTCCCTGAGTGCTGTCTGTCCCTCTGTGGCCACGGCGTACCATCTTGTGTTGGCTGCTTCCAGATGAATAACACTTCATTAAGCTCGAATCCTCTCACACTGGAGAGGATTCTTGAACATGGCGACGAGTTCACTGCACCTTTTGATGTGCTGAACATCGGTCCAGGCTGGCGTACCCAATGAAGTGTTTCATGAATGCAAGTTTGTTTTTTTAGTTCAAGAGTAATACTCATAATAAACATGTTTATATTAGTTTTACTGATATATAAACCTTGTATGTGATGTTTGTAAAGGACCCTTTGGCATCACATTTAAACGCTCGGTGTAAGAATTACTAACGTGAAGGTTTGATGTTGTTAACCCGAGCCGCAGCAGCTCCTTGCTTAATTAAGAATACATTTTTTTAATCATCACCTTCAGTGGTGCCGGCTTTGTCAACACCAAAGTGCGTGTTGTGCATATCTGACCGACTTGCACTGTTTTACGCCCTGAGATGAGAACCAAACGAAGGGTCACTGTCACCAGTCGTTCTGCCATTAAGCCAAACACAGGAGCCGAGAGCGTTAGAGCAGCTCGCCGACGATCGCCGCAGGGCCGACCGTCGCCGGCAGCTCGCGCCGAGTCTGTGTGTGTGAAAGTGAAACTGTGTGTCCTGAGTCAGTATTTCCTGGAAAAGATTAAAAAAGGACGCCCACGGAGCCAAGAACAAAAACACAAGTCAGAGGTGGAGTCATTAATGGGTTCCTGTCGCTCTACTGTATATAACCTTGTCTTGTAAGTGAGTGCTATCTGCTGCGGTTTATCAGCAGAGGTTAAGTGCACTCTCGCCATCTGCAACCTGCCATCACGAAGCAGCAATAAAAGCTCAGAAAGCTTCGTGCTCCAAGATCACCCAAAGTCAGCGATGTTGTTCGAGCCTAATGGGCCGATGAGCGGGAGAATAATTACTTAAAACCCAGGAGGTTCTACATGAGGGATGCTAGATAAATGTAAGGCTTTTTTTATTCGTACCCGAAGCAAAAAGCTGCAGGCCTGGCCTAAATACCAAATGTTTATAATGGGGTAATAATTCATGAGAAAAATGGTGTTGCTCTCTCGCCAAGTTTATTTTCCCCGCTAACACGGAGCGGAGAAATGGGACACTTTACAAACGGAAGTGTTGTAATGAGGTATTAGCTCACTTGTGCTAAGATCGTTAGATGTTTTTCATGGATTATTAGCTGAAAATGAAACGGGGGGTGGGTAAACGCTGGTAATGTAATCGTATATAATGGCTGCAGATATGATTCTGCTGGGACTAAACGTGCAGTCAGAGCTCATTAAGCTCGGCGGCCGGGCTTGTTTTTCCTGGTCTCGTTGTATTTGCAGCGTTTCTCTCTCGCTTTGAACATCTGATCGTCTCTACGACATCGACTCGTGTCGCGCCCTCGCCAACGCCGCCTTTGTTTCATTCGCCAAACTGCAGGATCTCTGAGGTGAATGCTTCAGCGTAACTGTGTTTTTCGAATATCTACAGGGATCAACGATGTAAACATTTTTTTAATTATGAGCAATAGGAACTAAAAAGTGCTGCCGCAGACTTTCACACGGTGATTATCAGGATTTTTAAACTTCGATTTAAAAAATAGTCTTTATTTAAAAATCTCTCCATCCGTCCTCTTCCATCCATATCAGGAGCCGATCCCAGCTGGGCGAGGGGCGTCCGCCCTGGATAGATTAAAATGTTGAATTTTTACTTCATGTTCATGGTGTATATTGTTTATTGTGATATATACTGTTACTATAGATAAAGATCTAGTACCTTATCCCTTCGGCCAGCCTTTTCCTTAGAATAAACTGGGGTAAAATAAAGAACCCGGCGATCACCAGAGGATGATTCTGAATGTTTCTCATTTCTCTCCATTACTTGAGCTTTGCCATGAGGGCAAAATTTCCATTCGACACAAAACTAATATAATCTAGTGAGGAGATTTTTTGAAGTTCACTGAGCACATTTAGACTTTCCACACGATGCACCTTATTATTCTGAATGCAGCACAAGCTCTAGGCGAGGATCAGAATCCGGCCAGCATGTAAAATATTTCAAAGGAAAAAGCATTTTCTGTGATGCCCTGACATCCTTGAATGTTACCGCACTTCAGAGCAACTTTCCAAAGAGGATAAATGAATAATTTGATTGCAGTGACATGTACTGAGCATGTGGCTGCTCCTCATTGGCCAAACGTTTAGATTCTGCTGGCCACGTGACATTTTTTCTACTGGTCTGAATCAAGTTTCAGTTTAGTAGCGTTGCTGAAACGGCTTCAGTACAGCTTTTCCACCAATAAGGTGACCAGTTAGCCGACATTTCTGCAAAAATCCCATCAACGGAAAAGTACCACGAAACTGCTCAAGTCGGGTCCATTGATGTTAGAGTCAGCTAAAGCATTCCCAGTGCTAGTGTGGTTTTCTGCCGTTCTACTGGTTTGTGTGGAGTCCTGGTTTCAGTGTCACTGGGACGTGAGGATTTAATTTAACCTGCCAGTTGGGCTGGGTGCTGTGTGCGAAGCTATTCTTGTTCCAAGATGTTCCCTCTGGATCTGCCACAACATATTGTGCACACACCCTCAGCAGTGAGCTATTACTCACTTGGAGCTTTTTCGTTTTCTTAGCGTGTATTGGCATTTCTTTTTTATCTCTGACAGAGTTTAAAAACACCGAGACGCTTCCTTTTTTTATTTGGTTTGGTTGTGAGGATTATATGTTGACATATTGCTCCTCTCAGTGAGGAGTGAACCACAGCTGAACCCAGCAGGTGAGGGAGGAAACGAAAAGCTTCTAAATGACCTGTCAGCTCCTTTTTAAAAATCCTTCCTTTCTCCTGCAGCTGCTCTTTTAAATACCCAGAATACCTTTCCCCATGCTGCGCTGAAGCATGCGGCTATAATGCAGTGCTTCCCAAATGGTGCGCAGGTTCCAGGTGTGCTGCAGAATTCATCTGTGCATGCAGGAAGTAGTGGATCCATTTTTAATTTAGTATCAGTACCTTGCTCAAAAGGAAGCCAGTTCTGTATGCAGACAGTTGCCAGATGGTGGGAATTATTACAGCGTGACACATGAAAGGCTGTAACTGGTAGTGAGAGGGACATAATGTGTGAGTGGGAGGAGAAAAGCATAACTAACCACCAGCACGACCCACGAGTTGGAGAAGAACCTGCAGAAACTGTTGTCTGTTAACGGCCTTCAGTGCGAGGCTGAAGAAGATGCTTCGTGCTGACATGTTTCCGAGCACGCTGAGGAAACACTTACAAACCCAAACATCACTTCTGAAAGAAACTTGGCTCACTCTGAAGAGTGCTGGAGCTGAGCCAGAGGCAGGTGCACCGCGTGGACTTTGTGAGAATGCCTCAGAGGCAAACCGTAGTAAAGGGTGCTTATTGCAACCAAAAGTGTCATCGAACAGCGCAAAGAGTAACTGTGCAGGTGTGCATGAAATTAAACTTGTTGTGCAAACCCAGATCTGGTTTAAAGGGCACTGCCCGTCCTCCCCTTCGTCCTGTTTAGGACTGAAACTACTTTATCCAGGGTGCCTAATCTCGCCCCTCCTCTGCAGTCAGCGTTGAGCACTTTACAAACGAGCCCGATAGTTGCTGAGCTGTTCCTGCGACGGCGGCGGTATCTCTCCAGGGTCGTGCCGGGAACGGGCCGGCATGGGCGCCACGTTCTTGCTGACCTACTCACTACCTGCCTCTAATGGGTCATATTTTAGCTCCTGTGGCGGTGACAAATGGGTGCGCTCTAAAAGCCCTGTCCAAGGCGCTGAAACTCGGTTGATCTATGACTGAGTCCCGCTGATAAATGCCTCCTATCAGTTTGTGCATGACGCCGATTCATCACCGCGCCGAGGTTTGTTCTGGGAATCCATATTGGATTTTTAATGAAAGAGAATATAATGCAATTCAAAGTCAGTGGGTTTGCCAATGCCCTCGCACTTTACACACACAGTCATTAAGGTGCACACACACATGCTTACGCACAAACAAACCATCTCTCTTGTCGTGCTGTTGAGATTGCATTGCATTTCCCTAACAGCGTTAAAGTGTCTGCCTTGAAGGGCGATCCCTGTAATTGTGTTTGTCTCCTGCAGACCTCACACACAAACTACACAAATGTCATCCACACAAAGTGGTGTTTGAATTATTTCGTGCCAGCGCACACATGCTTTGTTTTTTTTATCTAAATTTCAAGAGAAAGATTGGAGTTATGACACTACACAGGTTTAATGAAAAATGTATTTCTTCATAAAATTGTTTACATTATAATCAGGTTTATTGTACACTAGGCTAACAAGTTTCTCTCTGCCATTATAAACTATCTTTGCTTAATGTAACACGGCAAAGAAAATGCTTTCTGCAGACGTCAAAGCTGCTTCGACAAGGTATTTAAGACGAGAAGAGTTCCTGTGCTGTGCTTTAGTCTGGCTGCACTGCATGAATGACCAGTAGCCGTGTGGATTATAGTCGCGATATCTGCCTGATTAAGCTATAATGACACGATTTCAGATAGAAAATAGTTTTTAGCCAGTTACGCAGGAGTATGATTTATCCGCTGCTGAAGTCCGCTCGTGGAAGGAGGGTTCGTAAACTGTCCAGTGTCCCTCACTCTGCATCCTCGCTTAATCCCAGAGCGCTGTTACATACAAGGACGCGTCTTACACAGAGTCATCCGTTAAGTCTATTACAGTTGCCGTCACCTTGATCCCAGACGCACCAAACTCAAGGAAAGAAGAAGACGAGGAACGAGTGCTGGCAATCAGCAGCGCTTCGGCTTGGTCGGCCATTAATTTCCTGTAAAACACCTGGCTGTGCAGGGACGTGTAGACGACAGAGCAAGCCACAGCGACCACGATAAAACACGCAGCACAAGCAGCCATCGCCACAACGTCCCATTTGTGGGTCGTCTCCCTCGGGACTGCCGTCTCCTTTGTGGTCACATTGACGCAGTCCCTGCTGTATCCAGGCTGCGCTGACACCACCTCAACACAAACCTGGTAGCGAGTGGACGGCTGCAGCTGCTTGATGTGATACTCTTTGACATCAGCAGGAAGCCTGGCTGTAAATGGCATCGAGAGGCGGCGGCCCTCTGCTAAAATGGACCAGTTTAGTTGTGAAAGCAAAGAGCCTGTGCTTTCCCACGACACAATGACAGAATAGGACTGGACAGACATGATATATACATGTAAAAGTTGTTTCGAAGGCAGGGCAGTGTATCCGTTCACTGAAACGAGCACAGACTTTAGGTCTGCCCCGACGAGATTGTGGGCGACGCAGGTGTAAGAGCCAGCCTCCTGCTCCGTGGCATCGTAGATGTCGAAGGTTCCCTCTGGGTGCATGTAGTACTTATTGGAAATGCTGCCAGGTATGACCCTGACACCCGACGGTGTCACCCAGTAGATCTCGGGCTCTGGTTCTCCAAACGCCCGACAATGCAGTGACACTGAGCTCTCTTTGCTGATCTCAACTCGATCTGGGAGGCTCCCGGGTGAGATCAGGGGAAGGCAGATCTCCGTCATCTCCCTGAAGTGCACCTTTCGGACGTGCTGCCCTTGGTACTCTGGAGGTTCCACGCAGAACAGCGAGTCGGGCTCCATGAAGCGAACGGTGGTTCTGTTCGTGTTGACCCAGCGGATGACACAGTCACAGCGGATCGGGTTGCTGTGCAGGCTCACCTCTCGCAGGTTGGGCAGTGACTCCACGGTACTGCGATGAAGGCCGCTCAGGGAGTTGCTGTTGAGCATCAGAGTCTCCAGTCTGGGGAGCTTGTGGAAGGCCCGAGGGTGGATGTAGGACAGCCTGGGATTGTTTGTGGCCTCGATTTTTGTCAGTTCTGGCAGGTTGTTCAAGGCGAAACTGTCGATGGAGACCAGCTGAGGCATGCTGTTGATGCCGAGCTCTTTGAGGTGCAGCATGTCCATAAAATCACCTCTCTGGATTCTCTCAATCGGATTCTTATTCAAATCCAGAAACTTCAGGTTCTGAACTCTTGTCAGAGCTGCTCGGGGTACTCGATTAAGCAGGTTGTCAAAAAATGAGATGCTCTCCAAATTGTCGAGCCCGACCAGAGTGTCATCAGGAATTTCAGTCAAATTCATCCTGGCGAGCACAAGGCTTCGGAGGTTTGCCAAGGGCTTAAAGTTCATGTCTGACAGGTGAAGGATGGGATTTTCTCCCAGCATCAATATCTCCAGATTGGGGAGAGGCCTGAACCACTCGCTGTCGATGCTTGTCAGTCGATTGGAATTGAGATGGAGCCTCAGCAGCCTGCCCAGGCCCTGAAAAGCCCGGGAGCTAATGGAGAAAATCAGGTTGTGGTTGATGTAGAACTCCTGGAGGTTTGGGAGGGAAGCGAGGCAGCTGTCAGAAAGCTCCTGAACCCAGTTCTCCTCCATGTGGAGTGACAGCAGCTGGGGGAGAGACCCCAGACGAACATCGCTCACCGAGGAAATGTTATTCTGGGACAAGTCAATTTCAGTGATGTTGGCCAAGTAATCCAAACTTTTCTCCACATTAACAATGTTGTTCGTCTGCAGTAGCAGCACCTGTGTTTCTGAGGGGAGTCCCTGCGGTAGCGCCGACAGGCCCAAGTCATTACAGTCCACGGTGGTAGCCTCGGCGTAAATAGAGCTGGGAGAGAACCAGGGTCGTATCTCGCATCGACACAACGCGGGGCAACGAGCGGCCCCCTCGGAGGCCAGAACAAAAGCAGCGAGACACAGCTCAGCCAGCAAACAAGCCACAACTGCTGCCTCCTTCATCTTGGCCCCGTATTCCCTTCAGCCAGTAATTGGCCCTTATGGAGTCAGCTGTTAGCGGTGTTAACTTCACAAATAAAAGCTCATTTGTTACTCCAGCAAGACAGAGCGGATTTCTGCTGACGCCTGGTCCCCGAAGCTTTGGCCCCGTTGTCTTCCCACTCTTGGCAATGAGAGGCAACCTTTCAGCTCGGTGTGTGTCAGGTTGTCTCGCACGCTGTGATGTGTCAAGGTCGACGCGTCCTTCAGGGAGCGGCGCTGAGAAGCAGAAGGGCGGTGGAGGAGTGCTGAGGCTCTGGCTGGGGACGAATCACTCTGCCTTCCATCATTATTATCCTCCGTCGCTGTCACTGGTGGCAGTTTCCATCTGGGGAGACGGGAGAGAAAGAGAGACCGATATAAGACGCTGCTGTTGGGGAATGTTGAGAAACATTGCCTGGGATTACTACTTCAGAGTTACATCACAGTTTCTCTGTTAAGATGCAGTAACGTGGGTGGCTATTAGACAAACCCCAACTTTCAGTGAGGTGACCCGACCGCTGTTATTATGTATATTTTTGGATAAGTTTGAATGAGCACATTTCCACAGCTGAAGGGTGAAAGGCAGACAGGATGAAGTTTTTAATTTTCTGTCAAACATGGAGCTCTGAGATGATGCTTAAAAATGTTAATTCAAGAGGCAAAACAAGTCCTCGCTTCTTTCCCCTGTGTTGTAATTAACAGATTCTCGCCGCCCCCTGAACCGCTCCTCTGCTGTGAACAATGCAGCTGCGCACACTTATCAAATCACCCACACACAAAAACACAGCAGCCGCAGCTGATGCGCACAACCTCGAGGTGTTGTAGACCCACCACAACTATCTGTCGTGCAAGCTTGCCTGCGCCGCTTTCTGCCTAATTCATGAGACGCTGAATCAACGTTGTCGGTACAGGTGACAGGTCTGCAGCGAGCTTTGCCTATGTCGACTGCACGTATTGATGCTTTGATTAATTTGTGACCTTGAGTGCAGAAGCCACAGTCGAGTGTACAACAGTAGATGAAGCTGTCAGCGTGAGCTCGAGCAGCCGGCTGCTGATGAGGACGAGCTATGGCACTTCATGCATATATTAGCTTGTTTGTGGCGCTCTGTGCGTTCAGGTTTGCAGAACTGAACGTTGCTCTGTCACTTATTCTCGTTCCTCGTTTCTTTATCGTGTGCTCTTTTAGAAACCTTAAGTACTGTTCTGCACGATGGCTTTGATGGTCAAATAAATAGGTACATATTTTACGGTAATGTTATTTTTTAAAGTCATAAACGACCACTTGCAGTACCTTCACAGCCCACACGGGGCCTGCACTGGGAGCCGGTGACGTAGAGGCGTCGGGGCCAAACGCTGACATAATCGTATCGAAGTTACTTTGTATGAAAACAAAAGTTAACTTAAACTCAAAGCTCCCACTTCAGTTCAGCAGGAGAAGGCACTGGTGCAGAGTGACTGTTTATGTTGTCAAACATGAATGAAAACTAATCTGAAAATTCAAATCATGACTTTAATAATCCTGAATGTTACTGACAGATGAAGCAGGGAAGTGTTCCCGTGCAGCCATCAGGGTGGAGCTTCTCTGCCTGCATCCGTCTGTGTGCAGCAGCTCGCTCGGCTGAGCTGACAACGTTGGAACGAATGAATGTGCCGATCAAGCACGTTCATTCAACGTGTAATTAGGCTGTATTGGACACTTATATTTGGACCGTCTGCCTTACGAGGCTCACTTCAAACTGCGATCATTCCTCGCTCGTCTCCGCTCATTAAAGCGCTCGCGGGCGTCCATCGCCCAGACAGCGAGCTGCTGTGCTGTATCTAACCTTACAGGATTATGTAAATGCCTCTTCACAGACACGGAAACAACAGCGTCGCGTATAGTATTTAGGTAACGACAGAACCGAGCTCTCTGCTAATGAAGCAAGCGTGGTAGGAATGTTAAACGGACGGTTTAATAGTGGATGTTTTCTCTTTCGGCTGGAGAGCGCGCTCTCGGGAGACGCCGCCGTACGCTGATTTAATTTCTCCTGTTTACCTCGGCAGTGCTCGCACACTCATTTCCCTCTTATTACTTAACTCTAAAAGCCCGCAGGGGCTTCTTTCATTTCCCCTTCCTGCACAAACACAGTTACATCAAATGGAGATCAGAGTGGTGCCGCTTTTCATCATGTGACAGTTTAAATGCCGTGATTGTTTTAGTTTTTATTGAAAGAGGAAGTGATGGAGATTCACTGTCCACTCTTTATGCAGTCACGTGTTTAAGGCGTCACTAATTTCACTGCTGTTAAAGTGTGAAGGCCTGCTCACTTACACACTTGCACCAATCGCTGTTTAAAGTAATCCTTCTTGATCTGTGGGTTTATTGTTTCAGCCCCGCCCCCTTTGAAGCCAGCTTGATTGGTTGTCTCAGTAACCATCTGAAGCAGAGCCTCCAGAGACGTTTTCAGTTTTCAGATTTAAAGTATGGAGAAAGACTAAAACAGGATATTGTTTGTTTGCTTCACTTTGATTTGTTTAAGCTCACAGTAGAATTTCACAGTTTTATTCTTTCAAATCTATTTTTTCTCCACAGCTGGTGTTTGTGTTCAGTTCAGTTTAGTTTTGGCACACGGTGATAATCGTAGAGACGCCCAGTACAGAGTGATTGAACCTGAGTGTTTATAACAGTCTGAAGCTTCACCATCACCACTGGATCACTGTACATACACAGTACATATACATACACAGTACATATACAGTATAAATGCTGTACAAAGTATTTGACCCCTTCCTACTTTCTTTTTTGCATAGTTGTCGCACTTATCATATCAGACAAAAATGCCCAGAGCAAATAAAAATAAGTTTTTCAGTGTTTTCAGAGCCCTGACTTTCTCACACAGGGCAGGTTTGCGTAGTTTTGGTATATTAATAAATGAAAACAACACTAAAATCTGCATTTTGATGCTGATTTTATTTGTAATTTCCACCAGGTAAATTTAGGGAAATGAATCAAACTTTTAGTGACTCACAGTCTCAATAAAACCATCTGTCTCATGAGCTAAGACTGCTACTAAATTAACAATATTTCCTCTGCATTTCTGTTTTATTTTAGTTTTCCAAATTCCCCAAATCATTTGTTAACCACAGTAACCTTGGTCTGAACCACCCTACCAAGTGCTGCCAGTGCAGAAATAACTGGGAGGTGGATTTATACTGGAAAGAGAAACCATGTGCGGGGACACGATTGTTATTTAGGTCAGTTTCATAATAGTTTGATATTGTTGTCACTAATCATACGTGCATATAAACTCAGAGGTTCACCAAACCTTTGTGAGATACTTGTTTTTAATATTCGACGTCTTTGGTAAATAAAGGAAATTCTTCCTTTGAATTCTGGAATAAAGAATCTTTTTGTGGACGAGTGTAACTGCTGTATTGATAAATTCAGTCACCTGTAGCTCTACACAGTTAATGGCACGACTAATGTTTCTCGTCCCGGGTTGAATCTTTCATTAAAGAGGAGTTTTCTGCTGCGACGGGCCTTTCGCAGTTTCTCCAACATGTTTAGCTGACGTGCAGGATCACTGCCCGCTGCACAGAAATGTCACGACCTCAGAAATTAGAGATTGTACTCTCCCCATTACTTTTCTTTGCCGGGAATAGAAGCGATTGCTGCTGAGCGCACGGCGCGATCCGGCTGCAGGACCTATTCCGGCTCACTCTTTGCCAGGGCAGCACTTAGGGAGAAAGACCCTCCCACTGTTGATAAAAGTATTTAGTAATGCATTATACGACCTGCATACAGACGTGGGAGCTGCTCTGTTTAACCCGGTGGGACTGCAGGCCTGGCCACTTTTTTTAAGTGCTGAGTATTGACATTTGGCGAATGGATTAAAGCAGCTCGAATGTGAAATATTTATGCATTTCTTATACAGCGGGGGGAGAAGCCAGGGGCCACAGCTCTTAGGGCTCCTCCGTCCTAATGTGGCAGACGTTTCATAAAGTGGTCCCAGTTCCCCATGTTTTATTCAGGACTCGCTGATACACACGGCTATCTGCAGCTCGCTGCTAACACCCTCCTCTGAGCTGCTGCTCCTGGAAATGTCTTAATTACATCTTTGGAGATAGATGTGAAAGCAAAAAACAAACTGACAGCCCACTGATTACACTGAATTTGTTTCTGCTGGTGGAACCTGATCGTAGTGGTGATGGTGACAAACTGCTCACCCAGAGGTTGACGTGCAACTTCCTGGCAACACGAATGCACAAGGTTGCCTGCTGAGAGGCAACCTGTCTCCAAACAGTCTGCCACCGATTGCTGACAGTTTAGCTTAAATGTTGCAATCAGTCAGAAGATAGCAGCTTACCACCTGTTCCTGTGTTCCTGGACCCAGTCGCTGAAGCATTAAAGCCATAATGTCTACTTTAAAGGGGTTCATTGCACACGGTTGTGTTGCAGCCTCCAGCCACTCTTTTTCCTCTGTGTAGCGTAAACCAACCAACAAACGGCAGAAAATCAAACGTCTGAAAAAGTATTTAAGGTGGTGGATGAACCGCATCAAAGCCCAGTACAAGATGAAAAATACATTTTTGGAAATGTAACTCGTGCAAAGCTACTCTAGGAAAGTCCAAAAATAAGAAGAACATGCCAAAGCAACAGGTGGCGATATGATTCTAACCGTGTAGAAATTGGCCAATCAGAAGCCTAGGAGCCTGGGAGGGAAAGAGTAAACAAAGATGGCGCGTAGAATCAGTCTTTCTAAGTGGAGCGACAGTAACTGCGTGTCTACATGGAAGTGTGTAAAACCTGCAGATAGCCTCTATCCGCCTTTGTTGAAATTCATCTCATGTAAACTTTAACGGCGTGTACGTGTGGACCGCATGCACAGACAAGGCTGCGTTTTTGGACTTGGCCTGAAACAGACAGAAAAGGAGCTCGTCATCATCTAATGTTAGCTAACAGGCTATGCTGTTGTTGCCATGCAGATATTTTGGGATATTAAATTTCTGTTACTGCTGCAACAGTAAATTCTTACTGCTCAGGATCTGCAGACACTTCCTCACAGTGAAACAGACATGTGAACGATGCATGGAGCTGCAGCTGCGTCACAGCATCGGTTTTCACAAACGCCTGATTGCAGATGTTGCTGCCAACAGCGGCACATCCAGTTTTTAGGTTTAGGGAGCCGTTACTTTTGCACGGTCACGATGGCCGCCTCGCTGATGAGAACGTGAAGCGTGGACATCTGAACATAAACATGACAAATGTGAACAGAGTGGAGCGAGCAGTGAGAATAAATAGGACAAATAAACAAGCGCTGACTCGTTCTTCGAATAAATGTTGCTGTGAAAGTGTCCAAAACACGA